CAGCCAGGGGTGTGAGGGGAAGGTGTTTACTTGAATCCCGGGAAGAGGTATCTCCAGCCTGTCATGGTTCCTGGAGAAGAGGAGGGAGGGAGAGAGGGAGGAAATACAGAGGCAACCCAGAAATACAGAAAGGTAGGAGAGAATTCAGAGAGGACCAAGAAAGCCAGAGAAAATAGAAAGGGAGAAGAAGAAAGAATAGAAAAGAGTAAATCAAAAACAGAAAGAATAAGAGAAGTAAAGGCCGGGAGGTAGCGACTGAGGAGACATATAGAAGCCAAGAACAGGATAGATGCCAGGGAAGGAAGAGAAAGTAAAAGAAAACACAGGAAAGACCACAGATCTGCAGTCACAGAATCTTGAAAGACAGAGAGACAGGATAGCCAAAAGAAAAAAAAAAGGGAGACAGAAATGGGTACCCTGTCTGATGTAACCAAGAGGATTGTGCCCACCCCCGGAGGGAAGAAAGATGGGGAAACTGACCAAAGAGATTGATCCTGAAGCCTCCAGACCTGAGAAGAACTAGGCTCTTAAAGCAAGTTGGGGCGGGGGGCGGGCAGGGCGCGCCGAGGGAAGATGCGAAACTCCAGGAGGAAGATCAAGCCTCCCAGGTCTGTGAAGTCCTCCTTTGGCTTCAGAGCTGCGTGTGGGAGAGTCAGGGTTTGGGGTAGCACAGGAGTGCTAATGTGGGGAGGAGGGGGCTAGCGGCGATTTGCGAGAGAAACAAGAGCAGTAACCTAGGCACTCCCAAGGGAGCTGCCTCCCTGAGGTCCGCGATAAGAAAATCACGTCCCGGCTTAGGGGAACTGAGCGCAAAGGAGGATGGGAGTCCTGTAGCGGGCACCTAGTCAGTTTCAACGCTTGTCAATATTAAAAAAAAAAAAAAAGCCTGGTATCCCACGAGCGAGGGGCACTGGGCAAAAACAAGGAACCATCTCTACCCAGAAAGCCCCTCCCCAGAAAAAGTTTACGTCTTGACCGACTCCTGTAGTAAACTTCTTAATTAGGCCTGAGACCCCCGGAGAAACCCCTGGATGTCCTTATGTCAACAGAGTTCCCCGTTTAGGGACACCTCGGACCGAAGAAAAGCTCCGCGGCAAACAGTGGGTGAAAGTTTAAGAGGGAATAAGCGTGTAATAGTCCCTCGCCAGACCTCACACATGCTGACGAGAATATTTACAGCAAACTTGCCAAAGTAAACGACCCCGCCTACCCACCATCCTTTCCCCTTCCACCGCCCCCCCCCTTTTGTAAACTTCAGATAAACACCATCCGGTCACAAAAGGGTCGATGTGCCCCCTTATAGTTTGAGGCAGGCTGTGTCATAGGGAAGAGTGGGATCAGCAGAGGCTTCCCGGGGAATTCTTCGGCAAGACTAGGCATTGTCTGCCGTATCCTTGGCCTGGTCTGAGGAGAGGTGATATGGTTGCGCGCGCGCGTGCACATACGCCATTTATTCTGAGGCTCCTCCTGCCCTTCCACTTTAAAATCCGCACTCATACTACTTCTTCACTTTAAACTCTGCAGACATCACAGATTTGGAGAGGTGTGTGTTGGGTTTTTTTTAAATTAAAAAAAAATTCAGGCCTACAATTATGTGAATACTCTTTGCAAAAGATGGAGGAATGTTGGGGGGACACCAGAAGTTCCGCGCGTCCTCTCGGATTCAAAATTTGGCCCCCTTCTCCCGCTCTTTTAAAGCACCGTTTCTCAGGCTCTGCCCAGGGGCAGGCTCCTTCAGTGTTTCCCGTCTGCCTTTTGTGGAACGTGAGGCGGGGAGAAAGAGAAGATCGAGGGGGTCTGCGTGGAGAAAAAAAAAAAAGACCGTGTAGAGCCCGCGGCTAGAGCCTAAAAGCCCGGGCCCAGGGCGCGCTGGCCTGCGAGTTCTCCCGGCCGCCAGGCCTGGCACAAGTCTTCGGAACGCGCTAGCCAATGTTTAACCCGAATGCGGTGGCCACCAGGCCGCTTTTGTTTGTTCGCAAATTAATCACCCAGCGCACGGCCGGCGCCAGAGTGGGTTTATCACCCACCGGGAGGGGGGCGCGGCGGCCCCGCAGAGACAAAGAGGAGTTCGCACCTTCCCGCTTTTGATCCCAAGTTACTGCGGCCTCCCTGCAAAATACGAGCCTCCTGGGGCCGAGTCTGGGAGGTCAGTCATAATTGGCGGAAGTTTGCAGACCATTAGCAAGATGTCGACATTTTCGATTCAGAACCCCGCAAACTTTCCTCTCCCCCCTCCTCCCTTGCGCGCTGGAGTGGGAGTGGGGGTCAGGAGTGGCAACTGGGGTGACCCCAGGGTTAAGTAAGAGCTACGGGCAAAAATAGGCACGTGAGGGAGGGGGCCGTATGAGGGGCTGAAATCAAGGCTAGGTCCACCTCCGCCGTTGAGGCCAAAGGCAAGTCGAGAATTTACAAGTGGAATCAGCCAGCTCCCCTCCCACGTCCAAACCTAAGGGAGGCCAGAATGCGGAGGACCGAGTAAAATGTCTCTCTCCTGGGCATCTGGACGCTTGGGGCACCGAGCTGGGGGGTGGGTCAGCCATCTCGTGGCTGCAGAATTACTTTCCTTCTAGTCGGAACGTCGGGGCAGAGATTGGCCGGCGAGTGCAGGCAAAACCAGACCGGGGGTTTGGGGCCGCTCCTGAAAGCGCAGCGGTGAGGCCCCGGGCTCCGGCGGCCAGCAGTGTGGGGGAGGGGCGGGTTTCAGCCTCCAGAGACTCTTGAAACCCAGTGGTGACCTCCGTGGTCGGTGTAAGAAGGGGGAAGGCCTGGCTTCTCGCACCCTTCGGGATCGGGCCGCCAGGGACGCGGGAGGGGGGCGTTGTGAGCCGACACCCTGGCCCCCGCCGCCTCTTGCTCCACCACTGCAGAGAGAGGCCGAGAGGACGCCAGAGAAAGACCGAAAGGGAAAGAAAGGGGCGAGGTGGCGAGCCAGACGGAGTTCGCAGAACCACTCTATTCTCTCTGGTGACTTCAGGGAATTCTTAGCGCTGGCGCCAAGCGCTCTTAACCATGTGCGTCAAAAATGCGAGGCTGGAAAATCTTGTCGCCTCAAAAGTTCCGCCCCTATCTCGGCGCGGTTGGCCCACAACGGAACTGCATTTTCACCCCCCACTTGCTCTCACTTCGGAGTCTGGGAGCTGGGGGCTTAAGGGGGTACACGAGGCAAAATGTAAGAGAGGACGGTACTGGCTGTCGACACACACACACACATATCCCAAGCCTGGGGTTTCTTAACCCCCTAGGCCGCGCAATCAGCCGTTCCTTCGTTCCACTGGAGAAAGCTCCCAACTCACGAAGGGTAAAAGAATATTGTCCCCAAGATTTCCCTCCATCCAAGCAGGGACGGCCCAACTCATTGGCCCCCAGAAATGGGAAATGTGGGTCTGGGGAATCCTCTGACCCGGACAGGGACCTGCGGTAACAGTTACCAATTCGGCGACAGGTCTGATAGCTAAGATCCGGTTACCTCCCTCCCCTTCACCCTTGCTGAGGCCCCCCACCCTACCTGAATTGGAGCCGGTCACCTCGTCTCTGGGATGGGGGCGTTTCACGATTTGTTTTACAAATTCACCCCCCGACTTCTAGCGAGATAAGTCCCCGGGTGGAGAAAGAACTGAGGCACCGAGAGATAAGTGCGATGCCTGGAGAAGATACAGGGCTGGCGCACCTCCCCCTACCAGCTCCTCACCGAGCCGGCCACCGAAGGGAGGGAGGCGGCTGGATGGGGACAGGCCCAGAACCTAGTCCCTCGCTGCGCTCACTTTGTTCAGATCTCCCCTCTCCCCTCTGCACTCACACACACATTCAGGTGGAAAACCGGGAGCCCGATTCCAAATGGAAGACGAGATCTAAAAGGGCTGGTAAATGTATTTCAGAAAAGCCCGAGTCCGCCTCCCGGAGTCAGTTGAGCGCAGACCCGGGCAGCCGCGCAGGCTAAGTGTTTGCGTGTACGTAGTTTTCGCGGGTGGCTGGGTCCCAGTGGGCCGGCGCGTATTCGCGTACAGATGTGCTAGGAGTGTTTGGGTCTCCGCTCATAGTTTCGGGTGGGGCACGGTGGAACGCGAGCCCCCACCAGCGTGGGCTGAGATCTGCCTGCATCCGTGTGCTCGGGAGCCCTTGAGCCCTGCTGCCGGGGAGACCGGCAGCGAGAGACACCCGAGCTCGGGAGCCCTTTAGTGCCGGCCGGGAGGAGCTTGGCTCCACGTGGGGCTGGAGGGTGTGCGAGCGTGGAGACTCGGTGGCGCTCGCCTCTCCGCGGCGGTCGGCTTTTGTTGCGCCCGGCGGCCGGAGGACAGCTCGCGGGAGCCTGGGCCGTCCGCTCGGCTCGCCCGGGGCCGGGCTAAGAGGGTGAGCGGGAGAGAGAAACGACCGCGGCGGCCAGAGGCGAGACGAGCGCGCGAGAGGCGAGCGCCACTGCCCGGCGCCGGGCGCGCTCTCCGCCTTCCTGGCCCGGCTCGCTCGCTCCCGCCTCCTCCCCCGTGCTCCTTGCCCGGCCTCCTCCCTCTATCCCGGGCTGGATGGCTGAGGCATTTCAGACGTGGGCTGAGCCAGAGCGAGCGAGCTCTGAGGCTGCAGCGATCTCTCGATAAGCCACCTAGAGGCGACTCGGTGCGCGCGCTCCCCAGTGGCTCCCCGCCCTCCCTCTGATCATGTTGACATATTCACAGGATAGGCAGTAGTACCGATGCGGCGCTGCGACGTTACAGTTTCCGACACCTTCTTTTTATAACTCGGCTCTATCCCCCAGCACTCGACCTGTGAAAACCACGCCTATGCAGCAACACAATTGGTCCGAAAGCGTCAAAGAGCCAATCAAGAGGCCTCCGGCTCTCCGCAGCCCACAGCAGAGCCCGACCTTCTAGACCGCCGAGCAGACGCCCGGGGAATTCTAGAGGCGGAGGAGGGTGGCGAGGAGCTCTCTCTGGCTTTCTCTCGCTCCCTCCCTCTCCTCGCGCTCCCTCTCCCACTCTGTCTCTCTCTCCTCTCTCTCTCTCTCTCTCTCTCTCTCTCTCTCTCTCTCTCTCTCTCTCTCTCTCCCTCTCTCTCTCCCTCTCTCTCTCTCCCTTCTTTTCATTCCCCTCCTCCCCCCTAAATCCTCCCTGCCCTGCGCGTCTGGACGCAGATTTAGGAAGAGAATTCGCTCACGTTTTAGGACAAGGAAGAGAGGCGCGGGAGAAGAGCACACCAAGATTCGGATTGAAACCCAGACACCAGGCTCGGAGCGGAGGAAGGAGGAGGAGGGCGAACGGAAGCCCGTTTGCAGTACAAGTTTTGATAGCGCTGGTAGAAGAGGGCTTCAATCAGAGTTGTTGTTGTTTTTTTTTTTTAAAGGAGGGAGACTTTTTCCGCTCTCTCGCTCGCAGTTCAAGCCGGTCTAGCGCAACTGCAGACGCCTCCTGCGAGCCAGAGGGAGAGGCAGAGAGATAGGGGGGCGGGGGAAGAAGAAGGAGAAGAAAAGGTAAAAAGTCTCCTAGGAGAACCGTTCGCATTTACAACAAAGAACTGGGGGCTGGAGGGGGACTGCCGGGACCGAGGGCTGGCGTGTCTATTTCGAGCCAAGCAGCAGGGCTCCGGCACGAGTCCAGACCCGTTCCTCTCGCCTCGTAAACCGACTTCCAGGAGCGGCTTTTTGAAAACGCAAGACACAAGGACAGTCATCCGAGCGACTATGTCTCCTGATTTCTCGCCTTGCCCTCTTTAAAAGCGGCATTCCCCTCCCGAAAAGACACTTCTCCTCCCCTCACTTTGAGGTGCTTTAGTTGTGATCCCCCCCTTTTTTGTTCTTTCTTTTTTTCCCCCCCCCCCCTCCAAACTATGCGCTGCTGTTAAAAAACAAAAACAAAACAGAACAGCAGCTGCGGACTCGTCCCCGGCTGGAGCCCAGCGCCCCGCCTGGAGTGGATGAGCCTCTCCATGAGAGATCCGGTCATCCCTGGGACAAGCATGGCCTACCATCCGTTCCTACCTCACCGGGCGCCGGACTTCGCCATGAGCGCGGTGCTGGGTCACCAGCCGCCCTTCTTCCCCGCGCTGACTCTGCCGCCCAACGGCGCGGCGGCGCTCTCGCTGCCCGGCGCCCTGGCCAAGCCGATCATGGATCAATTGGTGGGGGCGGCCGAGACCGGCATCCCTTTCTCGTCCCTGGGGCCGCAGACACATCTGAGGCCTCTGAAGACCATGGAGCCGGAAGAAGAAGTGGAGGATGACCCCAAGGTGCACCTCGAGGCCAAAGAACTTTGGGATCAGTTCCACAAGCGGGGCACGGAGATGGTCATTACCAAGTCGGGAAGGTAAGCAAGCGGCGGGCCCCCTCCCCCAAACTACTGAAGGTTTCTTTCCTCCTTTTCTCTCTCGCCTCCCAGAACGGTCGGTTTGCCAGTTATTCCGGCTTAGAGGCAAACACAGTTCCCCCGGAACTGTGTACCAGAACTGTGTACAGAGACCTCCCCGGGCCCTGCCCCTGTGGTAGGAGATTTCAGCTTACCTGGGCGTCTGCAGCCGCCCGTTTTTCCTACCTGGGTCTGCATCCCGGGTTCCGTACAGGATAGGTAGAATTTTTTCAGTGCTGCCCAGACATCTCTGCAGGAAGAAAGAAAAGCACCCCACTGCAGGCAGTTCAGTGTTTCAAACCTTTCTGGAACGTCCTTGTGTCTTTATAGATGTTGTATTTTTGTCTGGTTCATTTTGCTCTCGGAGAGAAACACTTACAGCCCTTTTTGTTTGTGTGGTAGCAGGAGGCCTGGAAGGAGCTGCCCTGCCTTTGCTGCCCTCCAGCCTAGCCCCTGGGTCTGCAGGGGGCCTGAGCCTGCCCCTGCCAGCGTCAGAGAGAAACCGAAGGGCATTTGGGGTCTGTCCATACTGCTTCGTGTGTCTGTAATCGAGGGAGAGTTCAATAGGCAATTTTGGCTAATTAAGATTATGTTTGCAGACCCAAGGAGCCAGTAGGAAGCCCCATACTGCTGTTTCATGTGTGAATATTATCAACCACATTTTACATAACGTTTAGAGGTCCTTGCCTGACCAAAACGTGCCTGTCACTTAAAATCACTGATTTTTTTTTTAATGGCATCGAAGTCTACCAAGGCATAAAGTTGAAGGAATAAAAAGAAAATCCCTCTCTTCAGGTCTTTAGTTTTCTGTGTCTTTCCAAGCTAAATGAGGCCCAAGTTTGCCATAAAATCCTCCCAGAAGACACATAGGCAGTTTCACAGCGACCCGCTCTCTGCTCCCTTTTAAGTCAAAAGCACAGAATGCCAACGCCTCTGGAAAGTAAAAAGCAATTTGGTGGTGGAGTCTTGCCGTCTTGGACTGGCCCCGAGCAGTGGGGAGAATGTGGTTAGCGGCACGATAGGCTGGTGATCAGGCCTGGGCGTCCACCCCAATCTACAGAATTCGTTTTGAGAACTCACCAAAGTACAGTTTCATTTCGCCAGCAGCGGGACTGCTGTTCCACAGCAGGGAGGGGTGCAACTTGACATTTCTTTTCTTGATACGTTTAACATTTTTCTCATCAATGGGTGGTGGAAAATTCTACCTCGACTGACTGAACTTGACTAAAATCCTACCCAAGCTGTTTACAACTAGACACCCAGAAAAAAAGGCAGAGGAAAAGGCAGAGGCAGGAATTTCCCTCTCAGGAGGGCAATCTATAAAGTCATACAAGAGACCACAAAAATTACAAAGAAATTATTAGATGATGTAGAGAAATCCAGTGCCACAATTCATTTGTTTTGAATCTTGGGACATTTAAAATAGAGCCATTTGAGCATATTTAATCCTTCTGTTGTGGAAGGAAACAACTTTGCATCCAGTCGCCCTACTCTGAATGGCACAAGCTCATCAAATGTAATCGAAAGTTTTAAATTTGATTTAAATATTTTAGGTAGAAGATCAAACCCGGGAAACTGAGTGATATTTTTTTCTTTTTTTCCTCTCTCTTCTCTCCCCTCGTAGGCGAATGTTTCCTCCATTTAAAGTAAGGTGTTCAGGGCTGGATAAAAAAGCCAAATACATTTTGTTGATGGACATTATCGCTGCAGATGACTGTCGGTATAAATTTCACAATTCTCGGTGGATGGTGGCGGGAAAGGCTGACCCTGAAATGCCAAAGAGAATGTACATTCACCCCGACAGCCCTGCCACCGGGGAACAGTGGATGTCCAAAGTTGTCACTTTCCACAAACTGAAACTCACCAACAACATTTCGGACAAACACGGATTTGTAAGTTTCATTGCTTCCCTTCGATAAAATTTTCTCTTTCTTCTCTCTAGCAAAGGCAGTGCTTCCACCTTCCATGTAAAACCAAGAGTTTCTCCCTCGCTCTCAGTTGCCAAGCATAGCAAACTTGCTCGATCCGCAAACAGAGATGGAGAGAGTATTCCAGGGTGTTTCTCTTCAGATAATGGAAGGCCTGGCATTCTGAAAGAAGTGAGGCTCATGTTCTGTGGCAAGTCCAGGTCTTGGTAACTGTTTGACCTGACAGGGAAGTTAAAAAGCAATTGTGAAGACGTAAAATCAGTGTCAAAGGTAGATGTTCGTAAGGGATTTGTTTTACGATATCAAACTTCTGTTTTGAAACCAGCCATATTGTTGCTTAGGGGAGTTTTAAGGTTCGAAGTCTTGACTCTGTTGGTGAGAGGGTGTGAATACAGATTTTGAAAGATGTTCTTCCCTTGGACTAAAAAAGAATTGGGCTTAGGTGAAAGTCAGGTTTACTAGAAATGAGACTTAGATTTCCCAGTACAAAAATTGCATATGTGTTGGGAGTATATGTATGGATTCAGGGAGGGAGTTCCTAGAAACTTTCAGGAGACTTAGATTGCTTGTAAAAGTCAAGCAAAGGACCTTTTGCCCCCTGCCCCTACGCCTCCCCAACATTTCAATAAAATAAACAGAGTGATAAGTGAGGAATAAGCAGAAAGATTAGGCCCAGGAAGACGTGAATGGCACGGAAATATCTTCAGGGGGCAGGAATTGCATTTGAAGCCCTTGATTTGATTAAGGCATAAATATTCCTCTCTAGAGTTCAGCCTTTCAGGGCTTTAAGTGGATTGGGCTCGTCAATTAGTGGGCACTTAAAAGACTGAATCATTTTGTAAATTAAAATGCATGTTTTTCTCTATCTTTTAAGACTTTGGCCTTCCCAAGTGATCAAGCAACGTGGCAGGGGAATTATAGTTTTGGTACTCAGGTAGGCTAGGGTTCAAGGTACGAATCAACCTTAGATGGTGAGGGTGGGGGAGGACCCTTTGGAAATTGAGGAGCAATTTGGATTCTCCAGAAGATTACGTGGGGAGCTGAATGTTCCCACAGAGGTACTCCAAGGAGGTGGGCTTGGTACAAGCGTGGTGCCCTTCGGTGGGGTAGACGTCGGCCTGACAGGGGTCCTAGGGTCCTGTTCTTCCCACTAAATCCTCTTGTGATGTGTGTCTCTCCTCTTCCGGCCCCTGCAGACTATACTGAACTCCATGCATAAATACCAGCCTCGCTTCCACATTGTGAGGGCCAATGACATCTTAAAACTTCCTTATAGTACTTTTCGGACGTACTTGTTCCCTGAAACCGAATTCATCGCTGTGACCGCATACCAGAATGATAAGGTAACCAAAGTCGCTTTTCTTTTTAATCGTGATATTAACACCCACTTCCCCTCCCCCCTTTAAGCTGCTCTGGGGAGAGGATAAGAAAGTTACAAGAGCATTGGGATGGGACTCTGATTTTTCTTTTGTGATTTGACCTTCACTGGAGCTTTGCGGGGAAGGGGCACTGGCACACTGCAGAGGCAGAAGGAAAAAAAAAAAAAACTTGACCAGCTAGGAATCCAATGCTGAGTGAAAAAAAATGCCACACTAACTTTGCCAGTGAGAAGCTCCTGTAACCACCCGTCCTTACTGTTGCCCGCCCCACCCGACCCAGGGCTTTCTCCTGTTGGTTTCAAGGTTCATCCTCTTCCCTTTCAGGAAGAAGGGTCAAGAAATCAGGTTCGAAAGGAACCAACTAAAATTGAAGGCAAAAGCCATTCGGGATCTTGGGAGGAGAGTCCCAGCAGAGACCAGATTTTCTCCCCTAGCCAGAAATCCCGAGTAGCTGGTCTGGTTTTTATTACCTTTTACGCTGCTGTGTTTTTTATGGTGTGTGTGTGTGTGTGTGTGTGTGTGTGTGTGTGTTTGGAAAAACCTACTCTGATCACAGGGTCATGCTAATTGAGTTGTCTGAGGCTTTTGAGATGAGATGACCGAAGTCACCACTTCATTTGAAGGGTTTTTTTTCTCCCTGGGCCTGAGGCCGGGGATTACGAGTACCCCCCAATGGAACAGCAGGCAGCACCTGGTATGTAAAGCTATGGTGGCCCGAAGGTCATGGGCGTGTGCACGGAGAGACACAGAGACACAGAGAGACACAGAGAAAGTGAGTCTTGCTGCGGGTTCACCAGGCGCCAGCTTGGCTGTTAGCAGGCAGTTAAGGGGGGCGGGGGGTAGGGGGTGGGGGGCACCTGAGGACCTCTGCCCTTCAACTTCTGAACCCTGGACCTCAGTGCCAGTCCAGCTCACTAGATGACGACGCCCTACATTTTGAATTCACTCTCACTATGAGTGGGTCCTCTGGGGCCCGCTGATGGGGGTGTTCCAGGTCTGGTTCCTTGGTCTGGAGACTAGGACATCAGGACCTCCTCTCCCTGCAAGAAGTGCAAGCAGGATTTATTCCAAGAACAAGAATCCGTCCAAGGGGCCCTTTTCCCACCTCTAGCGAACTCTGTATACATCATCCCCATCCCCGACCCCACCGCAGGGAAGGGATTTGAAAGATTACATACTATTTTTCCTCAGCGTGTAAAAATGCACGCACCCTCTAGACCCAGAATGCTATGAATCTAAGTTGTTAACGGAATAATAAAATATAGCATTTTTGATCAAAGCGGCCATGGGCCTTCTCCACCTAATGGCGGTGGCAGGGCATATAAATGAAAACAAATGTTTCCAGTGGTCATTCGGTCCTTCTAAATCTATAATTGTCAATATTGTAATTCCTGAAACACACTCCCCCGACACCCAGCAAAAAAATCAAGCCCACTCCAGCACAAGGGTAGTGAAACCCCATAAATCATTTTATTAGATTTACAGAAAAGGTTGGAGGATGTGCTGTGTGTACGTTTGTGCGTGTGTTTTGGGGCAGGAAATATACCATAACATATTTTACGATCATTGCACTGTATAAAAAAATCTAAAGGAAAGCATAATTTTAAGATCTACAGGTTGCCCCTTGACAGCTTTTCCATTTCTAAGCCCAGGCTGTTGGCTGCCCAGGCAGGATCATTTCAGCCTGGAATCCCTGGTTTGGCCTCCAATGCGAGATGCCAGCCATGACACAGTTTGCTTTGGTTTTCCTCCTGGCCCCCTCCAAACTTCTTCTGTGTTCGCCTCTCTCTTTCTCTTCAACCTGGCCTATCCAAATGACTTCTCCGGTGGTTGGAAGTCAGATTTCTAGTAGATTAATGAGTTGGGGGAAACACTCCCAGAACATTCTAGAAAATGAAGCCAGTGTCTCTTTCTTGCTTGTGTCTCCTTCTCTAGATAACTCAGTTAAAAATAGACAACAACCCTTTTGCAAAAGGTTTCCGGGACACTGGAAATGGCAGGAGAGAAAAAAGGTGAGCTGAGACAGTTGTCTCTCAGATAATTTAGAAAATCGCTTTTCTAGGTCCCGACACTCAACTGTTAGAAGTGGGATGCAGGCACTTACCTTGAGAAGGGTGGGGGAAGGGCGGGGGAAGGGTGGAAAACAGTTTGATGCCCCTCAGCCAAGAGCTTAACCGATTTCGGTACACCACTTTCTCTACCTCTTCCATGTTACCTTAAAGGAAGTTAACTAGGCCACCCCATAGAAAGATGTCTCTGCAAGAAAAGTATCAGGGATACAGATTATGTACAGATGCCTATTAATTTCTAATTAGTTTAAGTTCATCCTGGGCAGGTCCCAGGAAAGGACTAAGCCATTCACAAAATGCCTTGGAATTTTTGCAGTCTTGTCTGGCAAATACCCTCAGACAGAACTGAAGCCCCTGGAGACATCTATGGCCCCCTCCTTCTGTGGGGACATGTACCATTCTGCATTAAGCAGACAGCTGGCTGGTACATAAAAGAAGCTCTCCCCTCCCCCACCCGCGTTCAAAGAATTTCGAAAATCCAGAAAATCAGCCCCAATTTTTAACCTATCCCCTGGGGGAGGGGCTGGGCATTAAGAAATAATTTCTCACATCAAAATAGATTTTTTTAAGTCCAATTAACGTGTTGGTGAACCGATTACAGTAAAGTGCACCATGAAATAACCACTTCTTCCCAATCTTAGCAACCCGTGCGGAGTTGGTCCGCCCGTTGTGTTCACTGCTCTGAGTCCCCTGTTCCCTTCAGTCTGTAAGGCAGGCTGCTCAGCTGTCTCTGGCTGGCTCCAATCTCCCGTCTTGCTCTTTACTTTTTTTTTTTCATATCATGGTTTATTTCATAAGATGACATCATAATTCATGTCTAATTCACAAGAACAAAGACTCAAACCCCTCCTGCCTTCCCGTTGAACTCTGAGGGTAGGGAAATCCAGGTACAAATGCATGATCATGAGATGGCCCAACCTGATATCTAGTGGCTCAGGGTCACCAGGCACGGTCCTGCCCCTCATGAAGACATTATCTTGCCATCACCTGGACCTGCAGCTCCCAAAGGAGCAATCGGTAACTCTTGGGGAGGTGTGAGAACTGGAACCAGTGAGGCCCAAAGTTGCTCTTTACTTTTAAACAAGATTTCACTGCCCCAGCCAATACCCCTTCCCTAATGAATCCCTCTGGTCTTGAATAAATACACCCAAAGCCTTCTTTCCCCCTCCCATCCCCCTGGGCATGTGTGCGCCTCTTTGGAGAGGGTGAGGCCGCCCGAGAGGGGAAAATCCTCTTCTGATGTGTAACGCTGGGTGTGTGTGGGCTTCTGCCACAGAAAGCAGCTCACCCTGCAGTCCATGAGGGTGTTCGATGACAGACACAAAAAGGAGAATGGCACCTCCGACGAGTCCTCCAGTGAGCAGGCTTCCTTCAGCTGCTTCGCTCAGTCCTCCTCTCCGGCCGTCTCCACCGTAGGGACATCCAACCTCAAAGGTAAGTCTGGCCACCTCTGATTTCTCAGATTTCTCCAGCTCTTGGAAGCCTGAAGAGTTGGGGGCTGGGGGCACCCACCAGGGAACCTGACCCCTCCAAAGCTTCAGATCCTTCTAGAAGTTTGTAAACAGGAGCCAAATCTCACAAAGGGTGATCAGGTGTGTCCCCCTTCCCTAAGTTCCTCTGAGAGCTCAGACCCCTTTCGCCCAGACACTGAGTTGGCAGGGAGGAAGGAGTGGTCCCAGCTCCTGTATTCCCTCTGGGTGGGCGCCTGGAGCATCCCTCTCTCTCTCTCTCTTTTTCCCACACCCCCCACCCCACCCCTCCAACCAAGCAGCAGCTGACTTTTTTTCACTCTATCTTCAAACTCTAGGTTAAAATGTGTTCGGCTGGGGGTGGGAGGAGTCAGGGGATTTTCTGCCACCTGGAACAGGGAAGGTGACCAAGAGAAATCCAGCTATAGAGCCACCATGGACCTGTGAGAAAAGATGAAGCACTGAGAATCTGGGTTGGGGAGGGCAGGGGTGGGAGAGGAGGAGCTGTTCAAATCCCCAGTTGGTTTCCTGTGTTTAAAGAGCAAGAACTATTTATTTGGAAAGACACACATGCTCTCAATAGGAAGAGACCTGTTTTTTAAGTGAAATAAAATGAGAGTTCTTTATGTCTTCAATCCATTCAAGCTTTAAACACAAAACGGGATCCCTTTTTCTTTTTTTTTTTTACTGGTAGGACACCCACAGAGGGTGTGGTGAGAGCAAAAGAGAATCCATGATTGTCTTCAGGCAGTGAGTGGGCCGCTTATCACCCATCTCTGTCTGCAGAGACAGGGGAAACAGAGAAGGCTCAGTGGAGTGTGTGTGTGTGTGTGTGTGTGTGTGTGCACGCATGTTGGGGGAGGAGTGTTCAATTCTGCCACTACCAATTCAAATGTCAGGGTTCTCTCCAAACAAATCCTTCTGAAAGAAATCCACAAATTTGTGGAAGGGACTGCTCTCAATCACTCAGGGAACAAAGAGAGGGTAACTAGAAGGTGTTCCCGCAGTGAGTTTTAGTGTAAGTCAGTTTTAATTTTTAAAAACTGAATTTGCAATCGAATGGGGAAAAAGGCCAGTAAAGGCTTTGTCTGACCTAGTAGGACCTCAGTCCTCACTTGTGTAAAATAGTAAAATTCACTACCCATTTGGGGAAGGATCTATGGACGGAGGGGTGCCGCTCTATCTACATACTTGAAATTCGTTACTAGCTTGTTGCATCCTTCCACTAAAATTTGCGGTATCATCACTCCCACTTTGCAGATGAGAAAACTGAGGCGCAGAGAGGTTAAGGGGCTTCCTGGGGTTACACAGCTGGGAAGTGGCTGAGCTGGGATTCAAAGTGGGGAACTGGAATTCTGCTGGCCTGGGTTTCAGAGCTAACGCCCTTCTGCTTGGCTTTTGTTTCCCTCCTATGGCAGATCTGTGTCCCAGCGAGGGTGAGAGCGATGCCGAGGCCGAGAGCAAAGAGGAGCACGGCCCGGAGGCCTGCGACGCGGCCAAAATCACCACCACCACGTCGGAGGATCCGTGCCGGGACAAGGGCAGCCCGGCGGTCAAGGCGCACCTCTTCGTAGCCGAGCCCGGCGGCCGGCCCCGGGACAGCGGGCGGCTGGACAAGGCGTCGCCCGACTCGCGCCACAGCCCGGCCACCATCTCGTCCAGCACCCGCGGCCTGGGAGCCGAGGAGCGCCGGAGCCCGGGCCGCGAGGGCGCGGCCCCTTCCAAGGCCGAGGAGGCGCGCGCGCTGCCGGGCAAGGAGGCCTTCGCGCCGCTCACTGTGCAGACGGACGCGGCCGCCGCGCACCTGGGCCAGGGCCCCCTGCCCGGCCTCGGCTTCGCCCCCGGCCTGGCCGGCCAGCAGTTCTTCAACGGGCACCCGCTCTTCCTGCACCCCGGCCAGTTCGCCATGGGGGGTGCCTTCTCCAGCATGGCCGCCGGCATGGGGCCCCTGCTGGCCACCGTGTCCGGGGCCTCCACTGGCGTCTCGGGCCTGGATTCTACGGCCATGGCCTCGGCCGCCGCGGCGCAGGGACTGTCGGGGGCGTCCGCGGCCACCCTGCCCTTCCACCTCCAGCAGCACGTCCTGGCCTCTCAGGTATTTATCAACCGCCTCTCCGGCCCCTCGTTGACTCTCGTTTGCCTGTCCTTAGATCCCAGACACTCACCCAGTCCCCCTGCCTAGAAGCTTTCAATAATAATAATTATTATTATCATCATCATTATTATTACTAGGTGCAAGACTTATTGATTCATCATAACCTCACACTCCCCACCAAAACTTAAAAAAAAATCTTTTTCTAAGTTAAGGGCTATTTCTAGCAGAGTAACTAGATGGTAATAACAGATAATAACTCTACACAGCACTTACTTTGTGCCGGGTGCTCTTCTAAGTACTCGATCTATTCTGACTTCAGCGATCCTATGATCACCTCCACCTTCTAGATGAAAGGACAGAGATCAGAGATGTTGAGTAATTTATCCAAGGACACACAGCTGGTAGGTGGTGGACCTGAGACTCTACCCCAGGCAGTCAGTCAGATTCCAGGGCCTTTTCCAGAGGCTGTGATTTTAGCTTCAGAGTTGAAATGTCTCTTAAATGTTTCACAGCCAACCCTCCCCCAAGACTTAGAGGAGGGAGAGACCATGACCTGGTAAGGGAAGTGACTCCCCGGGGAAGAGTTGATTCTTGAACCTCCAATATGAAGCTATTTCCCTGCTCCCCCACCCCTCACAGGCCAGCCTGTTCCCCAAAGGGTTAATGGCTTGTGCACACGTGGGAAATGTCAGAGAAGGACAGGCTGGGGCTATGGCAGGCTTGGCGGCCTGTGTATGGCTCAGACAGCTGTGTTGGGGCTCCAGCAGCTGGGGAGAAGTCTCAGGCTGCTGAAAATGCTCTGAACCCCGGCGAAAAGGTTCTATGGGGTTTTGTGCATGCCCTTGCCTTTTGTTTTGTCTGAGCACATTCATCTCCCTTCCCTGAGCCAAGAGGCAGGACTGGCCTCCCCCTCTGGAAAGAGGAGGGGACTGAGAAAAGGGCTGGCTTCTGCCCTTCCTCCATCCCTCCCATCTCCTGTGCTAGCCCTTTCTGGAGACCCTCCTGTCATTGGTGGGCAGGTGATAGGCGGGCGAGGGCCTGCCTGGGCAGACAGGTACTAATAGTACCCAAGGCAGTGGGTCAGAGAGAACTAACCCGGGCCAGGGTCCCCGGATTTTTATTCTGCTTCTGCCACTTGCTAGCTGAGTGAATTCCTACACCCGGGGCCTACCTCAACTCAGTCTCTCCACCTGTAACACCAGCATATCTGGGGCTATGTGATTTCTTGGTTCATAGCAAACACCCTTTACTCTTTCCCCCTCCATCCTGCCCACCCCCGTTTTCCTTTTGCTTAAGGATCTTCCCCAGATTTTTTTTTTAAACTTCTAGACTGGAGTAGGAGGACGGAGGGGTGGCGCGACAAGAATGAAAAAAAATTCATGTCCAGTATTTTATGCCCTCTGGTTTGCACCCAGCTACTTTTGTGGGGTTAGACTGTCTGTAGCCCCATTTAACAGGTGGAACAACGGACTCTGATGGGAGAATTTCCAACCGTCCTATCGGCCAGGCACCCTGTGTGAAGTATATTGCAGGCAGCAGCTCATTTCATACCGACAAAGTCCCCCAGAAGTATGCGAATTATTAAACTTTTCCCTGGTTTTGCCATATAAGAAAGCTGAGGCACAGGGAGTGAATACTTCGGCCTAGGTTGACACAGCTCAGATTTGGACCTAGACACAGAAGTTTGAGTGTCCTGCGCTCTACCCCCCAGGGAGAGAGGTTAAGGACTCACCCAAGGTGGGGACGGGTGGGGGAGGGGTGATGGATGAGGTTGGCTCCTCCCCACTGCGCAGAGCCTGGGCCCTGACTCTTCTGCCCCTGCCTTCTCTTCCTCGCCCAGGGCCTGGCCATGTCGCCTTTCGGAAGCCTGTTCCCTTATCCCTACACGTACATGGCCGCGGCGGCGGCCGCCTCCTCGGCAGCCGCCTCCAGCTCCGTGCACCGCCACCCGTTCCTGAACCTGAACACCATGCGCCCGCGGCTGCGCTACAGCCCCTACTCCATCCCCGTGCCGGTGCCGGACAGCAGCAGCCTGCTCACCACCGCCCTGCCGTCCATGGCCGCAGCCCCGGGGCCCCTCGATGGCAAGGCCGCCGCCCTGGCCGCCAGCCCGGCCTCGGTGGCCGTGGACTCAGGCTCGGAACTCAACAGCCGCTCCTCCACGCTCTCCTCCAGCTCCGTGTCCTTGTCGCCCAAACTCTGCCCGGAGAAGGAGGCGGCCACCAGCGAACTGCAGAACATACAGCGGCTGGTCAGCGGCTTGGAAGCCAAGCCCGACAGGTCCCGCAGCGCATCCCCGTAAACCCCTCCCCAGAAAAGTCTCTTCATTCCAGTCCAGTCCAGTCTGCAGTGCACTTTGTTGGATGTCAAATAAACCACGGGCGTGCAGTGAGGTCAGCCCTTCTTTGTGAAGCCCTGTCTGGGAAGGGGTGCCGGACTCCCTGGAGAGAATGTGCTAGAAACAAGCCCTTTCTTCTTGGCGTGGTTTATACATCCGGGATCTGGCTCAGAAACGTCGGTTGCACTGAGCTCTTGGGGGTGGGAGTCAATGCCTTGGCGGCCGGAGCACCTCCTTCGAGGCTGGTCTGGAAGCTGTGGGAAGATCGAGGTAGCCAGGCCCCAGGAGGGGAGGGGTTGAAAAGCTCCCCCAGTGCAGATTTATATATATATATATTTTCCTTCACCGTGTCAAGTGGAAACAAATAAAATTGAAAAAAAAATACCGGGGGCAAATGGATACATTAATATGATTCTGTTTGTGAAGATTAAAAACTTTCTAGTGACCTGCGTATCAGTTCTAAATAAATTACTGGGTAGCATTGTTTGGGGAGGGAAGTCCCTGCCATCCTTGTTTAGTCTCTATTAAGGAAATCTGTGTCTTTTTAATATTCTTGTGATGTTTTAAGAGCTATAGGTCTCTTTTTGCATGTTCCACAGTAATGTATTTGTGGGTTTTATTTTTGAATGCTTGCTTTTAGAGAGAAAAGGACATTACCCCTTACCCTTTTCCTCGATTCTCGACAACCCCAAGGGGGATGATTTAAAGGGAAGGGGGTGGGGAAAACACCAAAAATGAATTTATTTTATCTAAGCTCTGTAGCAGGATTCATGTCGTCCCTCTGACAGTTCTTTCTCTTTCCTGTATATGCAATAACAAGGTTTTAAAAAATAATAAAGAAGAAACGAGACTATTAGACAAAGTATTTATGTAATTATTTGATAACTCTTGTAAATAGGTGGAATATGAATGCTCGAAAAATTAAACTTTAATTTATTGACATTGTACATAGCTCTCTGTAAATAGGATTGCAGCTGTCAGGTTTTGTGGTTTTGTTTTCCTATAGTCAGTTTTATTTCAGGGTCACAGGATCGCTTTTAAAAGTAGAAAACACACTTTCTGCACCGACACCGACACACTTTTCAAAAGAGTCGTCTGCAAAGAAAAAAAAATTTTTTTTAATGTCCAAAAGTGGGGAAAAGTGCTATTGCCTATCTTACCAAAACTTGGGGAGGTGGTTCTGAGATTGCTTGCGGGTGGGGTGGGGAGTGCGGAGGCTATGGTTTGACTTCATGATTTTTCTTTTGTATTTGTATTTGCTAGTCTGATTTCTTCAAAACAAAGTGGAATTGACTACTTACTGTCTTCAGTGTTGATGGTGTTTTGAATTGGTGCCTATAGAGATATATATTCACAGTTCAAAAGTCAGGTGCTGAGAGCTGGTTTAAAGACAAAAATTCATGAAGGTATATTTTGTGTTATAATTGTTGATGAGTTCTTTGGTTTTCTGTATTTTTGCCCCCTCTCTTTAAAATATCATTGAAATTTCAATAAATTTTTATTGAAATGTCTTTGGGCCTCGTGTTAAGTGCTTTCTTTAGGGAACTTTACTGAAAGTGTAGAATGGGCCTCTTTCTCTCCTGGCTTCCTTTAGCCCCTTCTCTTTGCCTTTAAATAATTAAGACCGCCCCCACTGAACCAAAATGAGATGTCACTCAAGTTACAAAACTAAAAACAAAAGTCCCTTGCTCGGCGGTGGCGGCGGCGGCGGCGGCGGCGGCGGCGAAGGGAGCGGTTTCAATCTGAAATTACTTTTCCTTTAAATTAGGAAGCAAAACGAGAGACGGAAGGGGGGCTGATTAGAATTGGATAGAATAGCAATTTCAGATACTTAAGTTTTAATGGAAAAAGAATGCTCGCTCCCTAAGTCAGTGTTTCCCGCACGAATCCGAACGTTTTCGTTTTAGGCTCGCTCTCCCTTTGCACGTCGATCTGGGAAATTGAAGTCAATTTCTCCTTGCCCCAGTGTGCAAAAAACGACAAAACAAAAACGAACAAACAAAAACTAGCAGAATCTCCTCGTGGCCAGCCCCGGCTTGGCAAGGCAGCAACCCTCCAAGCTGCAGGAGAAGGAGACGAAATCGAACGCCCCCCTGTAGTCCCCGGTGTCTCAGATTGGACCAGGCTGACCCAAGACACCCCTCAGAGGCCTCAGCCCGAATTGTGCGTGCGAAGCGCGGCCAGCTCTGCGCAAACTTTGCGTCACGGGAGGGAGGAGGGCAGTTTTCCCCGCAAGGGAAAGGTAATTCCAGGGCGCATAGTTGACCCCCTCCGAGGGAAAAGTCACCCAGGAGGCTGACACCCTCCTCCAGTTCTTCCCTCCAACCAGCCTCCAGACTGTTTGGGGAGTTGCCTTTTGAAGTTCGATTTATCTTTGAAACATTCAATAAAAAATGGTGAGGCCATGACAGTCTTTGGTCTCCTGCCCTCCCCACCCCAGCCTCGCCTCGGAGGTGTGTGTGTGTGTGTGTGTGTGTGTGTGTGTGTGTGTGTGTGTGTGTGTGTTGGGGGCTGGGGGGGGATTTAGGGAGGACGGGAAGGTTCTCCAGGCCTTTGCTTGCCCCAGGGGCCTTGACTTGAGGACGCAGCCGGAGCCTGCCTGGCGGCTGCCGCCCTCCCTCCCCTTCCCTGGAGCCCGCCAGCCCGGCCCCAAGTCCCTGTCACCTTCGGGCCCCTTGAATGGCCGACAAGGAGGACCCCCCCTCCCCGCCCTCATGCTGTACTTGGAAGGGGATAGAGGTCGAGACCTTTTGGAGAGGGGGGCATAGCCCCTTCCATCTCCAACCAGGCACGTGGTGAGCCCCATAGCCTCTCCTGCGCTGTCTCCTGGGGTGGGAGGGAAAACATTCAGGGTCGGAGGTGAGGGGTGGGGGGGAGCTTTGCAAGGCTTGGGGATCTTTGGGGCGCTAGCTCCCCGGAGGGTCCGAAGATTTCCCGGGCGTGCGCCCTACGCGCAGCGGCCGCAGCCGACTGGGACTGGTTGTTGGCTCAACGATTACGCGCGGTGCCTGCGCCCCGGGAAGGTGGCAGTCGGCTCGGGGTGCTCGGCAGCGCTCTCCCCGAGCCGGGGGGTGGGGGATGGGGGGGGGCGAAAACAGCCTCAACCTGAAGGAGGGCAGGAATGCTTTTCTTTCACGGTCCAGATTTGCTCACCTCCTCCCCACCTCACCCCCCAAATTCTGGGACGGTGCTCAGACGTGTATCTAGCCTCTCCCAGTGCTTGCCTTTTTTTTTTTTTTTTTAAATCTCCCGTGTATCTTATTTGTATATAGTGATGTTAATGAGTAACTCTGGTGGCGCTGATGGACTGGGGGTGAGCGGCTCGCAATCTCTCTGGATTTCGTTGCCTATTACTCACCTGGCGCCGGTCGCAATCTCGCCGCGGGCTTTATGGTGGCGGCGGCCGCCGCGGAGGCCACTTGGGGCCGGCGCCTTCGCCTTTTTTTTTCCCGAGCTTCGAGTGCCACCTATCTGTCTGGCTCGCGAACGCGCCCCGGTGGCCGCCGCTTGCTCGGCTCCCCAGTGCCTCCCGGGTTCCGGAGCTGGGGCGTTTCACCTTTGCCCCTTCTCATCCTCGCCAACCCCAGTCCAGGCTCCCCTCCTCCTCTGCCCCCCGCGCCACCCGCCACCTCTCACCCCAACGTCGGAAGAAGCCGCCGTCGTCTCTTTCCTGGATATCGCTTTCACTCCTCTTTGGGCCTCAGATGAGAAAAACAGTCCTTCCCGACTTCGGGTTTCCAAAGAGCCTTCGGAAATTCAATGAGAGGGATCCTCTCTCATAATTTTCTCCCAAGTACCTTGCCGCTCCGTGTAGAAACCTCTACCAGTTCGCCCGACCCTGTCGGGCAGGGGATAACCTGAGTTCATGCTGGGTAGATGGCGAGAGAAAGGATTCCCCCCTCCCCAATATACACCACTGAGATTCGACCCTGGATGCAACTCCCCTTTGCCTGATTAGCTTTCTCTTTCTTTCTTTACAACTCTGTTTTGGTTTGGTTTGGTTTGGTTTGGTTTTTTTCGGTTTCTACCCTGGCCGCGTCTACAGGGACGAAGGGCACATGGCTCTCGTGAGCAGCGGTCCGTAAAGGGCCCGGGCCGGGGTCAGCTACCGCAGCCTGCAGGGCCGAGCGACTTTGTGATTTGTAGATTTAAGGTGACAAATGCGGGTGCCGGACTGAGCCCTCCGGCCCCCGCCCCTTGGGAAGGTCTTCTCCAAGCCGGGCTGCGCCCAGGCGTCTGAGACCGGCGGAGGGGGAGGGCGCGGGCTCGTTTTTTTGCTGTGCTCGGAGTCGCGGGTGAAGGCGTCCGGGTTCCTGCTGACCTCCCGGCGCTAATTGCAGGGGCCGAAGGGCGCGCTCGGCAGAGGCCGGGGTCACGACCCTGCGCTCCCTCCTCCCAGGTCTCGACAAGCCCGAAGAAGCCGGGGGTGCGCACGCGGGGTGGCGAGTGCGAGTGCGCGTGTGTGTAGAGCCTCCCTCTGGATCTGCGCTGTACTGGAAACCACCCCTCCTTTGTGGGGCGAGTTCCCGGCGCGTAGGCCCTTACAGAAATTCCATCCACGAAGGAAAACCCTTGTCCTGACCTTTCCCCTAAGCCAGCAGACAGGCAGCCGCCTTTGGGCGCTGCAAGAGGCTTCAAACGCTTCGCGTCCGTGCGCTTTTCTGCCTCGCTGGTTTCCAAATTTGACCTCACGGCAACCAGCCAAGAGAGTGGCTATTCGAGTGTAGATGCGAGGCCGCGATCGCGACCTGGCTCTTATACACATAGCTCTAGAAAGTTCATACCTATGGGTAGCTCTTTGGGCGTTCTGGGGTCAGGAGCTACAGGTGTTAGAAGTAGATGCGTGTGCGCGAGCGTGTACGTACTTGTGCGTGCTCCACCAGTAGACGTCTCTTTCAATTTGTATTTCGAAGTTCCTGCGCAAGACAATTCCGGATGTAGATGCCTTTGGTTGTTTTATAATCAAGATGCGTATAATCAACATGTATATGTTGCAGATGTCGGCGTTCAAAGTACACGGAACAGCAATAATAAAATGAGCTGGCATACCAGCATACCAGGGGCCCGTGCACAAGCTAGGTACTCGGTTCAGGCACCCCACAAAAGAGATCTCCTTCAACACCGCCTCACAATTAACCCTATGGTGTGTGAGGACGACCTTTACGCCTTGTTTTACAAAGGAGGGAACTGAGGCTCAGAACTCTGAAATCACTAACCCAAGAGCACCCGGGACACTGTGTAGCCAGGATTCGAGACCAAGTGGGCCCCAGAATCCAGTGGAACCACTGTTTCTAGTTCAGGTGGAGGTGTACATACCTGCGGTGCGTATATCCAAGACGTAGAGAAACCTATGGGCGTGTTCTGGATTTCGGTGTGCGTCTCACGCGCTTTTCATATGAGAACATTTTACATTTCTTCGGGCGTCTCTCGTGCAGTGAGAAAGTGCAGTTTCTATCTCGGCGTCCTTACAGAACATTTTACATTTCTCCGGCCCTCTCTCCCCCGTGCGGTACCTTCGAGGAGGAGACCGCACGCTTGGGACCCTGGTTCCCAGGCGGATGAAGCGAAGGTTGGCTGGTGACAAAACCCCACTTACAAATACTTGCGGCGGGGCACGGAAGCTGATACAGTGTTCTCGTCCCGATCTGAGTCGCTAGGGACAGGGAGTTACAACCGCGCGGGCGCGCGCCAGGGCAGCAGGGCGACCGCGCTAACTCCAGTTTCCCTCTCCCGCCGGGTGGGAGAGCGAGACTCGGGTTTTGGGTGTCTCAGGCTTTTCACCACCGGCCTCCGATCCTCCCCTGCGTCCCTAGCACTTGCTGAGCTCCATCTGCCCGGGCGCGAAGGCCGGGGACTGCAGGTGGGGACCCTGCCGGCACAAGAATCGTTTATTCCTTCCTGGTTCGACCCTGCTCAGCTTCCAGGAACTTAAGCAAATTTGGTTCCTCGGCCCCTCGTTCTCTCAACTCCTTGGCCCCAGGTGGGAGCCGAGCGCTCGGCTAGTGGGGAGATAGATCCGCTAGAGGCGGGAGAAGGGATACGGAGGGCGCAGCCCCACGCAAGAAAGGGGGTGCCTGGTTATGAGACAGCGCGGCCCAGGTTCCCCAGCCTGGGCAACTGTAGGCCCCATGCACCCAAGGAGCCGAGGCCCGGGTCTGACTGCAGGCTGGGCGGGGAGGGCGGTGGGGTACGGGGAGGACACAACACATTGCTCGGGTAGGGAATAGGGACCCGTCTTCCTTGCGCCCAAGACGCAAGGCGCTTTCTGTCCCGCGGCTGGGCTGAAGTCAGGCGGCCTGTGCCGGTCCGCTCGCGCAGCTTCGGGGCAGTCCCTGGCGGGGGGAGGGGGGGAGGGACTTAGAAAAGGGACATTGGTACCGTCCGAGCCGTCCGGCTCTCCACACCCCCCATCCCCCCAGCCCCCCAGCCCAAAGATCCGAGTCAGCCAGTCTATTTGAGCTTTTGAAATGCGATCCCCCG